AGTCAAAAGATGTCAAACCCTACAGCTTGTGAGAAGTTTTTTGTACTTGAGAATATATTCGTCACTCAGTACGTTTTTAGTCAGTTTGCTCAAAAATAAACTAGCTTCTAGATCTCAGTAGAGCAGGTGTATATATCTGTCTCTAACTTGTGATGCATTCTTATAATCCCATCGGCTTTATTATGAGTACAGAAATGTGTATTTTTTTAAACATACGAGTTTTGACCCATATTTGCATTAATGTTGACTATAGTTTTGGCCATTTTTTCGATAGACCATCAAAACCTCAGTACAATTTTTTTTTTTCCAGACTTTTGGGTCTGTTGTATTCTAGCTGACTGTTGCTGTACATGCATGTGAGGTTTTTCTCTGTCGTATTTCAAACAAATTTTAATGCTGTAAATGTTTTGATTGTCTTTCATAGTTACGTAGGTAAGTGAACAATATTGAAAGAAAAGGAGATCTCAAAGCGGTATTTTTATTGACTTGCTGGGAAGGTGTTTGCTGTCTACATCTGTGTGATCGTATTTGTGGGAAAATGACAAAGCTAGCTTAAAGCTTAGAAGCCTTGCAGAGAGAGGGAGTTCCAGCTTGAGGTGTCATACTTTCTTTGCAGAAGTTCGGCACTTGTTTTTGTTTTGTTTCTTTCTGTATAAAGCAGCCGTTTTTTTTCTGTGAAGTTCTCTGAATTCTTTATATTTACATCAACTGGCAGGTGAAATCAGTATGTGCTTTTCTGAAAATATGAACCTCTGATATTTATTGTGGAAAAAGCACCACTATTTTATTACATGGCACTCAATCCAAAATGCTAGCGGATTCCTTGTCTTCTAAAAATGACAGCTTATATCTTAAAGCAAATAACCATTAGCCAGGTACTATTAATTCTGCCACTGATAAAATTAATGTAGTAACAAGGTGGAAGGACTAACGAGGAAGGTCAAAGTATCTGATTATGTGCAAGTAATTCATCAAACTTCAAAAGCCAGATCGTGGCACCATAAACTAGTAAAATGTATAGCCAGTACTGGAATAGTTCTGAAAGCCTTTGGAAACATAAAGTACTGTACAGGTAGGAGAGTTAGCTAATTGTTGTCTGTTAAAGTCTAGGGATCCCCATAATGGGTGTGTTTCTATGCTGTTCATACATAGGGGACAAATTATATTTCTCTTTTTTAACTTGAAGTTGTTAAATACACAGTCAAATTTAGTCTTCTGGTAAAGAACTTGATAGTTCTAAAGGTGGAAATTACTCATAGAAAATTAGTATCCTTGCAGTATGAATTCAGTAAATGATAAAACAAAATGTCTTGTGCTGCAGAAGGACTAGAACTCTGTAAAAGCCATAACATGCAAAATACTGTTCATTTTACATTGAAGTGGTGGATATCAAACAATTTCTATAGTGCTTATGATTTTGGATTAACCGTTTACTTTCTGCCATTGCCTGTTTATTATATTCTATTTGATACACTAAAAAAGTTGCTGCACTGTAATTTGTCAATTAAGATCTGTCACGTTCCCAGAAAATAGTAGTGAGAGTAAGCTATTCATTTACCCTATTGAGCTTCAAGTCAAGCTCTGGTTTCACCAAGACTATTTCTCTCCACTGCATTTAGTTGTGTGAGCACCAGTAACTCTGATCATAGTTAAAGTCCACTGGATATTGGTGCCTGCATAGGGCGTGGTGGTCTGATTGCATCTCCAGTGTACAGTGAGTAGGCTGTTGCAAAACTGGGAGGAACCTCTGAAATATTTTTCTGTATCTTTTTCCCGCATTTCAGTTAGGTTTATATGCCAACAATATTGGAACACTATTTGAGAGTGGAAGAGAAAAATGCAATTTAAAAGCCTGTTCTGTTATAGTAGATGGCCACACAGTCTAAACTCAGCACTGTTAGAAGATGACATTAACTATTAAGGAAACACTTGTTTTTCAAAACTCTGAATCACAGCTGCAGTCGTTCATACTGTCAGCACCATCAAAAACATCCTTGCTTTTGGTCATGGTGGTGGCAGCAGCACCAGCTTCCTGGCTGTGTGCTAAATCTTAGCAGATGTAGGATTCAGTTGTCTAGGCATCATCTACTATTTGGAAAACCTGATCCTTATTCTCTTCAGGGGAAAGCATCAGGTCAGGTAGGAAGTGTCTTTTGGGCTGCCACTTGAATTACTGATAATGAAAAGATAACATGGAAAGAGAGGATTTCTTCCTAGGTATCTGCTGTGGAATTCTGTTGTTTGCGTGAAATAGTTTCAGCAATCTGTTTGCCTTCTCCTTCTTCACCTGAAAGAACAACAGTGCCTGGCTGCCTTAAGTTGAGGTTTCATAGTGTGCATCATTAACTCTGAACATAACTTCTGAACTTCCCCTATATAAAATCCTTTATGTTGTTACCATTAAACCACTTTTATGTGCATTACTATTCTAAAAAGTGATTTTCGAAAATTCTGAGGTGAAACTGTTATCAACAGGTTATTGGCAGCCGTGTGTCAAAGGTGCTGTGACTTCAATTCTATTTTTTTAGTTCAATATGACAGCTGCTGTTGTGGTATGTAAGGGATGTGCTGAACTCCTTTATCTTTTTGTATATGCATGGGAGACAGTAGAGACAGGTTTTCAGATTCTGGTTAAGTACTTGTTTGAGGTTGTACAGCCATCTTCTCTAGGTGGGATTTTTCATTCCTTTGATAGTCAGCAAATAGCAGGGTGTTTTATCTATGTTAGGTCTTCCTCTCTCACTTAACTGCCTGAAGAAAGCCTGGACACTGTCTTTGATACCTCATTTTACAGTGGAGTGCAGTGCCTTATGGAAATACTGTTACAGAGTTAGTTCTAAAACTACAGAAGGAGGCTAGATGACCTATTCCCAGGCTAGGTGGGATGATGCAATCAGGCTTTACCTATTAGCATATTTTGTGAGGGAAAATTAGCAAATAGTAGCTGATGGAGTGCAAGGTACAGGAAAATTCAACTGTCTCGGTGTGTCTCCACTATTAAATAATTCCAAGTGAACACACGCAGTGTGCTTGATTATTTTGCAGGATTGAAATACAGTAGTGGAAATTGTCGTTTAAGGTAACTTAAGGCTTTTGCCAATATGTGAGTTTGCAGTAAATAGCTAGTGAAGCCAGTATTCGTTATCCTTGCAAATCCTAACTCTGAGTCCAGAAGCTATTACATATGGCAACTTTGGAGAAATATGAGATAATGGTCAATATATGTGATTTGGTTGTAGAAATAGACAAAAAGAATTTTGCAACAGTATTGTCTTTAGTAACATCTGAACAATTAGAGAAATACTGGCTAACGTTTTTGGGGTTTCTTTTATTTTTATCTTTTGGGGAGTGTATGTCACTTAATTATGTTTACTGTGCATATCTGTAGAAGAATGCTAAAAAAACCCCAAATACACATTTTTACTTAATATCTCGTTTATTGAGAGTAATTTGACAATTGCAAGCAAAATTATAGATTTCTCACAAAAAGAGGTCTCTGAACAATGTATATTTAAAAGTTTAAAAGATCACTAGTCATTCTGTTAACTTTCAACATCTGTATGAACTTCCTGTTCTTTTTGGACTTTCGAAAGGTGCCACAAAACAGTTCTCTCACCATTTATTGTGTTCTTAAGTATTCAGTTCCTAGGAGTTTGTCAAGTCGGTGGAGTTGTTTTACTGTTCTTTTCCTGCACATATATACTGTTTGGAAAAGGAATTTTTCATTAGAGTCTGTAGGGAACAGTCTTTCTGTTCTCTTCAGGATTTTTTTTTTTAAGATTTCCATGAAAAACAGATACTTCTTCTCTGGCACTCAGAAAAGTATTAGGGCATGGTTGTAAAGACAGATAAACTGATCTAATGGCCTGCTACTGCTGAGAAGTGTGGTTCTTCTTTTCCTTGCCCACCACCTTTAAACGACTTGGATTCCTTCTTTTTGTTTGAGTGTAAAGGAGTAATTTTCTACTAGATTAATGAATTGGTTTGCTAAGTGGCTGGATGACTGTCAAAGCACAAACAGAAGAGAGGGGAGCACATAAGCGCACAGCAGAGAGGGAAAGATGGAGGCAGAATAGAACTTTCCTCTTTTGGCTGCAGCCAGCTGTTAGATCAGCTCTTTCATTTAGGAGCATCCTTAGGAGCATCCAGTTATTGTGAATACAGCATATTTTTGCAACAATGAGGGAAAAACAAAAGAATCCCACTTGGTATACCTGAAGTTTCTGTATGCTTTCTGAGTGTTCAGGCTTTTTTTTTTTTCTGATCCTCATCCTCTTGTCTTTCCTAAAGTTCTAGCAATTTTCAGTCAATCTTAAATCTTTTTTCTGAGATTATCTTATATAGAGGGTATGTTTTTGGTTGCTGGGGTTTAGGCTGTTGTCCCTCCTTCCTGTGCCCGAAGTCTCTTGCTCTCTGTCTCTGAAGGACAGAGAGAGCAGAAAACAGTGATAAGTTGGAGAAGTGAGGTCCAGCCTTTAAATGTTCCTAAATTTGTAAGTGCTAGAACAGAGCTATTTGAAGTTATAGAAGTCTGAGAACAGAGAGGCTATCCACTGACTCAGAAGGTTTTACTCAGCACAGATGACCATAAAGCAATACAAAATTGCCTAAAATCTTTCTACCTTTGCCAGTTTCTTTGAAGCCAGCTGGACTTTCAAAATCTTTTAACAACTCTCTATGCTTTTGCCTGTACTAATTGTAGTTGCCGAGTGGTGTAGCAGTGACAAGAACTAACTGTGTTTTTGAGGGGCTCCTCATTTGTCCCTTTAAGGCATAGTTCAGATACAAGAGGGGCTAAGTGTGTGCATTGCTATTTACTTTTCATAAAAATAAAATTATTATCCAAACTTCTGAATTCTCTTTTTAACAACAAAATGGAAGCCCCTTCCTCAGTGGAAATTTTAATACAGCATTAAGAGTTGAGGAACTAAGCCTGCTTCTGTATTATACTCTCTGCAGTATTAGTAGCATCACTTTTTCTTCTTTTTATTTTTGTGTAGAGGAGAAGAAGCCCAAAGTCAAGAAACCAAAATCAGAATTCCCTGTATACACAGTTCTGGAGTCGAGTGCATATATACCATCATATGATCATGGAGCTTCAATTGAAGAGATTGAGGAACAGATGGATGATTGGTTAGGAGGCAGGAACAGAACACAAAAAAAGAAGGTAAGTTCAAAATCTCTCATGTTGTTACATGTTTTAAATGTTGATTCATTTGCTTGCCTCTTAAGAAAATGAAATAATGTATGTATACCACCACGATATTCATATACCGTTGAATACTAGAGAAGTATTAATTGTCAGGCAGAGACATAATGGAAAAGATTATATCGATGTTCAGTGTAATTTGTGTAATGATACTGGAAATGTTATAATAGGATGTCGTTGATTAAAATATATGAAAGCTCTCTACGGTTTCTAATATAAATACTATTCTTGTTCACTAGAAATTAGTAGAACATAACACTGTCAAGTTATATGAGGCTTGGTTCTTTTAATTGCAGTTAATAACATTTTACTTGCAAAAATAGATTTTTCTCTATTTAAAAAAAAAGGCACAAAGGAGAAAGAAGGAAGAAACATTCGCTTCTTAATATCCAAATGTAGTACCTTTTGATTATGGAACTATTTATGTACTTTGTGCGTTTTGTCTCACTTACAGAGAAGTCCTAACAATTCAGCTTAGGCCTATTGCTAAGGTTCTTGCTACTTAGAGATAAGGGTTCTTAGTGGCAGTTAGTGTAATTATCTTCTGGAAAATATATTAAAATATACTGGCATGAAAATGTATAGTTTTCATCTTAGAACTGATATATATAGGTGACAGAAGAAATGTTATAAATTAGTCTCCTGACTTAAAAATCTGCCTTATCTGGAAGACTGAGATGAGAAGAATGGTGTTTTTGAAGTGGAGTTAGGGCAATGCATTGACTTCAGCATCAAAATAGTGAAAAGTTCCTGCCGTCATTTGTTTCATTCCTCTGTGCTGCAGATTTGCTTACTCCTTAATTGTTTTTAAGCCTGTGAAAAATACTCCCATTTTTAGCCAGACCTAAAATTTTTACTAAAATAATTTGAATTTTGCATAACCTGTTTAATCATCTACCACTATTGGATTCCTAAGCTTCATGGCTTCCCAGTTGCCAATTTTCTCTTGCTGTTGCTTTTATCTTGCTGTATTATTTAGTACATCTGCATTATGTTTACTTTCATATTTCTGTAACAAATCCCTTCTGCAAATATGTTTAGCTTTTGACTTCTGTGTAAGGGATTGACACTCTGAATCTTTAAACACTGGAGCATATTTTCGTGCGTTTAGAGAAAGTGAGAACTCAGGTCCTTAATTCTATAGCTGGGTTGCCTGAGAGTTAAGAGCATATGTACAGTCATTGCTTTGTTTACCCTAACTCAAGAAGTGCAATATCCAATCCTTCAAGTGGATTGGATTCCTGTTAGTTGCATCTCTGTGAACCAGCTTTGCTTACTAGGCTGTGGGGACAAATGATTACAGTAGCTTGTGTTGGTTGCATGCTTGACTATCTGGATCCTCAAATTCACCTTCCCCTCTAATTTTTCTGTGCTTACACCTAGAAGTTCAGTACAGCATCTTGTCACTTTGATTAATGAATTTATTTTTTGGATTATATTCCATTACAAATGGGGTTAACGCTTTAGGGACAAACAGACAATTTGCAGATATACTGTCTGAGTAAAGTGTTTGAGCTGAACAAACCGTGATGACATGTGCTTCTTTTCCTTGACAGCTAATATGTTACCACAATGCAGCATCAACATTTAGTAGGGTAATGGAGAGAAACATTGATAAACTGTACAAAGAATTGGAGAATATATGTTACTGGCTCTAGTAGCTTGTAGGGGCCATTTAGACAATATGAGAATGTCTGTCTGTGGTATTATTTGTAATAAGCTCACTGGGAAAATGGTTATACCACAGGGAATTGTTTCTGTCATTCGACACATTTTCCGTTTTAAAGATGTATTTTCCTCCACTACATATCATAGATGTGAACTGGGACAGCATCCCTCTTCTACTTCCCTCTTTTCGTTCTTGCATGGACATGCATATGGTATATAACTTTCACCTCTCAGTTCTGCTTGTCTTAGGAAAAAGTTACACTTTGATAAATCACTTTGCCATCAGACTTTTTCTTGAGATTGTCATGCTTCACTCATGAGAAAGCTTGTTGGATTTTTTTTTTCTTTTCTTTAATGATAGCTCAGGGATGTGGACGATGTACAGTCAGCCAGCCTTGAGAGCAGTTATCCATGTGGAAAGATCAAAGTAGATTGATAAAACAGTATGTTTCTATGTCATCCATCCAGAAATAAGGAAGTGGAGTTGCTGTCTCTGATGTTGGTATCCCGGGTGTCGATGATTACAATTCATTTCATACTGTTCATGAACTGATTTGCGCTGTTGACATTTGTACTTTAGGAGGTGCCTCTAATCCATGGACTAGTGTTTTGGAAGTGCTGTACCATGCAGAGTACCTACTTTGATATAATTTAGATTATGATCAGTTCTTAGGTTGAAGTCAGTCTTTGTGATTTTTTTTTTTTATATATTTTTTTTGAATCATAGAGTAGTTTGTATTGGAAGGCACCTCAAAGATCATCTAGTTCCAACCCCCCTGCCAGGGGCAGGGACACCCTCCACTAGATGAGGTTGCTCAAAGCCTCCAACCTGGCCTTGAACACTTCCAGAGATGGGACATCCACAACTTCTCTGGGCAACCTGTTCCAGTGCCTCACCACCCTCAGACAGAAAAATTTCTTCCTTAGATCTGATCGAAATCTGCCCTCTTTCAGTTTAAAGCCATTGCCCCTTGTCCTATCACTACATGCCCTTATAAAAAGTCCCTCTCCAGCTTTCCTGTAGGTCCCCTTTAGGTACTGGAAGGCTGCTAGAAGATCTCTCCGGAGCCTTCCCCAGGCTGAAAAACCCCAGCTCTCTCAACCTGTCTTCATGAATGCTTCGATTCCTTTTATTCATAGGTGTTGTTTTTTTAAAAGCTGGTTTAATGGTTCATGGGCTACAGTCCTGTAAGCTGTTTGCTAATGTTTCTTCCAGTTTGGAAGAGTACGCTTGTACTCTTTGGAAGAGCAAATTTGGAAGTCTAAAGCTTTGAATTTAGATGCATCAAAACTGTATAAAAGAAAAATTGAGATTTATTGTTCCATCTGCAACAGGAATCTGGATACTTTTCTGACATGTATTAATTCAGGAAGCAACATTATAATAGGCTAAATAGCTCTGTAAAGTAGATTCGCCAACTTGGAGAAGATAATGGCTTTCAGAAGTATCTGACTCACATTGTTTCATTAAGCTTACATAAGAGCTCTACATTGTAAAGCAAGAGCGTGGCTTTGGCACTACAGAAAAAAAAAATGACAATTTTCTTTGTAAAATAAATCTTACTAATTATTCATGATAACTGGAATTCTGTACTTTCAAAGAAAAAAGGATATTTGTGTCTCTGTTAAGGGTTTGATGGATTTAAAATTAGTGATTTCAGAGGCCGGTGTCCTGGGCTTCCAAAAAACAAAAATCACTGTTGTTTGGTAGCCTGACAAACATAAGTTTTTGCTGATCTTTTCAATATGTCTGGTAAGTCAGGAGGTATAGTAAAAGTGCAACTTGACTAAAGTTAATCTGTTGGATATGGTAACTGAATAGAAGAAAAAGATAAATGTTGATGTAAAAAAGTAGGTCAAGAAGAATTGGGCAGAGAGGCTAGAATTAAGTTTAATCATGATCTGGGTATAGCTTTGGAATAAATGAATAATTTGCTTCAGTGTTTATTAAAGATGATCTTGAAAGTAAAGACTACTGAAAATTGCTTGGAAATGAGAATTAACATCTCTAATGAGAAAGTAAAGTTTTAATCTCAAATTCAGAAGATTTTGTAGGCTAGTCTTCACCCCAGAATTCATTTAAAGTATCGTCCTTACTGAAAAGCAGACATTGTCCTTTTTAAGGGGGAAAAAAATGCATGCTACTCTCACCCTACTAGGTGACCTAATTGTCAGTTCAAAACAAAATAGCAGCAATGTGAAAGTGCATGGAAAATAATATAATATGCAGTTTGGAGTACAGGTGTGTTTTTTGGATTGGTCTACTAATTTTTTATTGATAGTTGCTTAGAAACATTTGGGTTTTTTCTGTCTGGTGTCTACATATGATATGGAAGCTATTAATGTACTGTTGATTAGTTTTTCCATAGAGTTTAAGTATTGAAGTGGATAAGGAACAGTCTATAGAGAAGAAAACAGCTTCCTCCTTAGACAAGGTAAAATGGATGTACCAAGGGATGCAGAAAGAGGAGTGGTTTCTGATTTTTTTTTTTTTTTTTGAAGGTTACATAGCTGGCTGAAAATGTATTTGTAGTGTAGTAAAGTTGTTATTTTGTCTTAATTTGAGAGCACACTAAGTTTTTGTCCATAAGGGGTTTGTCTTGCTATGTTGTTACTCTCTACTTAGAACTGAATATTGAAAGAAAGTGAGCTATTGGGAGATACTCAGATAATGTTCAGTATTACAGAACTGAGAGGTAATTTTCCTGTGTTTCTTTGCATCGGTGATCCATCCATCTTTAGGACTTTATCGTTTTGATTGTTGCACTTTTTCAGAAAGAAAGAAAAAGTAACAGGAATACTAGATCAACGATAAAAAGAAGTTCAGAAAGTCATAATTATGAGGAAGAGTTAAATAGATGGAGTTTTAGACCAGAAGAGGGAAGCTGTTGGGGAATAATTGTTTTTTCAGTCCGTTCTAGGCTGGTTTAGGTAAACCAGTAATCATTTATCATTACTTTACTACCTTTCATAAATTTGGAGAGAAAGAAATATTGAATGTAATTTGCAGCCAGGATGTTTGAATTCAGATTTGGGTACACATGTAGGGGGAGACACATATCTAGAGCATGTTACGTAGACCGTTCAATATCTTCATAAGTGATCTGGATGATAGGATCAAGTGTACACTGATGAAGTATACTCATGATACCAAACTTAGCAGGGAAGTAGACCCTTCAGAAGGGAGAGCCACCCTGCAGGAAGACCTGGATAGGCTGGAAGAGTGGGCTGACAAGAACCTGATGAAGTTCAACAAAGACAAGTTTAAGATCTTGCACCTGGGATAACCT